TACACGGCCATGTTGTTATAGGACCATCTATATTTCAGTGTATTTTATACATGGTCATGTTGTTACACGGCCATGTACAATTATACACGGCCATGTTGTTACATGACCATGTATATTTCAGTGTATAATTATACATGACCATGTTGTTACACGGCCATGTATAATTCTATACGGCTGTGTATCTTTCTGTTTCGGTCTAAAATTTTAATTTTTTTGTTATATTTTTAATTTTTTTTTTTAAAATTTAGAATAGTTGATATAGTTAAAATGAAAAAAAATAATCATAATAATCATAATATAATTAAAATATATCAATTTTAGTTCAAATATAAGTATTTATCGAGTATGTTCTTTTGGAAGATTTTGTCTAAAATTATATTATTTAGCAAAAATTTCAATACATTAATTGGATGTTTGTAAGAGAAATTTTTTTGCTAAATAGTAGAATTTTAGACAAAATCTTCCAAAAGAACATACTCGATAAATACTTATATTTGAACTAAAATTGATATATTTTAATTATATTATGATTATTATGATTATTTTTTTTCCATTTTAACTATATCAACTATTCTAAATTAAAAAAAAAAATTTAAAATATAACAAAAAATTAAAATTTTAGACCGAAACAGAAAGATACACGGCCGTATAGAATTATACATGGCCGTGTAACAACATGGTCATGTATAATTATACACTGAAATATACATGGTCATGTAACAACATGGCCGTGTATAATTGTACATGGCCGTGTAACAACATGACCATGTATAAAATACACTGAAATATACATGGTCCTATAACAACATGGCCGTGTATAATTAATTGTACATGGCCGTATAACAACATGGCCATGTATAATTATACACTGAAATATACATGGCCATGTAACAACATGGCCGTGTATAATTGTACATGACCGTGTACTTTTCAGGTCAACTGCCACGTCACCCCCGTCATGTCCACGTCAGCAATTTCCGTTAGTTTTCTAACGGTGGGACCAAAATTGATAAAAATTGTTTATAATGGGACCAAAATTGATTGAAATTGTTTATATTGTGACCAAAATTGATGAGTTTTTTATATTGTGACCAAAATTGATAAATTTTGGTTATATTGAGACCAAAATTGATGAATTTTTTATATTGAAACCAAAATTGATTAATTTTGATTATATTGGAACCAAAATTGATTTTTTCCCTAAATAAAAATAATAAGAAATAATTCACATACATAAAATTATATTTTAATTAATAATAAAATTAATTTCACAAATATTTAAAAAATGTATTAATAAAATTATTGTATCAAATAATCATTAAAAACTGCTATTTGTATTTAAATTGCATAAAATATACATATAATGAATTTTAATAAAGAAATTATCTACTAACATTTAATACGCAAAAATATTTAAATAATTAATTATATAACAAAATTTATTTTACAAATATTTAAATATATTAATAAAAATTTTCTATAAAACAATCAACAAAGAATAATTAATTAAAAATATATTACTTAAAATTGATCAATATTTTTAGTAACCAAACAAATGATACAATTAATTAAAAAAAAAAAATTTAAATTTGTGTTTTACAATTAATAGAATTCACCATAAATGGAGTATAGTATAAGATTAGAGATTTGGATTAATATTGGTAGAGTTTTGTAGGTGGTGGACAAATATAAATATGTATTTATTTTAACTTTTATATTTTTTGAAATAACTAGAAAAAAATAAAAATAGATGCATTAACTAATTTAATTGGCTTATTTTAATTTGAACAAAACCCCTATTGTAAAAACTCATAAAACTGTCAACTTGAATAATTTAAAATAATTAAGTTATACAAAATATCTTATATATTCGTATAAATATACTACATTTACAAATATACTATTTTTTTTATTTTTTATTTTTATTAATGTAGCATATATTTAAAAAATAGCTATTAATTATAATTATAGTTTTTACAATATAAAAAATAGAAATAGTAAAGATACAATTACATCAAAATAATTTTTTTGTATATTATGAAATAAATAATTTAATATAGTATATATATATATATAAAATTTAAGAAAAAATAAAAATATTGAAAAATAATCATTATGCATGTCTCACATATTATTTAAATAGAATAAAAAATTATTAAATGCAATGGCCAATCCAATTGCAAAATCAATCAAAAATTTAAAAAAAAAAATTCAAAATTACTTAAAGTTCATGTTTTACATCTTGATGGACCTACAATGAGCTCTTATAATATAATAGTATATATAAGATATATAAGATAAGATATCCCTCCAAACAATTCCATCAAACAAACACACCATACAAAACTTTCAACATTTTGAACTAAAACTAATAGTAAAACGCCTATCATATAGATACTTTAATTTAAAATCCATACTTCTCCGATCCTTGTAATGTCAAAATTCGTAAGAAGTGGCCTAGTGGTGTTAACAATGAATTTGTTACGATGGATTTTTAGGTTCTGAACCCCCCTATATGGAAGTTTCTAGAGGAATTAAGCTTCAAGAAAGCCGTATCCTCGATAGTCATCCCATCTCCAAAACCACTGTTTCGTAATGGTTCGATAGCATCCACGATGCATAAAATTTACCCTGAGAAGGTAAAAAAAATAAAGATCAAATGGTTTAGTAGAACGAAAAATAAAGAAACATCAATAATATATAATTCCCTTGCGAAATTAATGGTTAGAAGAAAACATAAAACAATAGAGAAATTGAAAAGGAACTCACTTGTGAAATTAATTACTAGAAGGAAACATAAAACAACGAAGAAAATTTCTAATAATTCACGTACAAAATTTGTCGCCAAATATCATCAAAGGGTCTGCAAGACTTTCTTTCGGTTGTGTAGAAGAAAGCAAGACTAACGTGCTATTTATTTACTAACAATGTTGAACACGTGGTTGATCGGCATCGCATGCTAAATTAATGTGTGACATGTAATGAGATACGTGTCGGGTCCTTAGTTTATAAAATTTTATTATTTATATGGTGCATACGGTGCTTTATATATTTTGTTTTGGATTTTAAGTTTAAAAAATAATTTTGATTTGATAGATAATTGTGTATTTTTATGAAGAATTGTAAGAACCGAATAATGAAAAAATTGACACAAAATAGCAAGTGACCAAACTTCAATTATTAATAAATATAATTTGCCGTAAAATCAAATATACTTAGATAATATTGCTACACACTATTCATCAACATGAGACATGAGAAAATGAGTGTACTAATGACAAAATAAGTTTACTTTATGCATAATATATATCTTTTTAACTTAAAAAGACACATAATATATATCCTTTTAACCTAAAAAGACACATATTTTATTCCAAATATGTTCTTTTTCCTTTTTCCGCTTGTTTTTCTTTTAACATGACCTTTCAAATGCAATTTTTATGTAAAAGTAACTGTATTTTTCATAAAAACAAAAATAATTAGATAGTATTGCCACACACTATTTATCGACACAATGCACTAGAATATAAGTGTACCAACTACAAAAACACCTATTTTATGCCTAATGTATATAAATACATATATAAATCTATGTAATTTTACATGTAAAACAAAATTGTTTGGATAATATTGCCAGACACTATTTATTAACATAGAACATGATATGAGAGTGTACCATTGACCAAAAAAAGCGCCTATTTTTATGCATAATATATGGGTGTTTTGATTTTGATTTCACATCGAAACCACCATCCACTACCAAAAAATCTGGCTTTCACCATGAAACACTGACTCGTAACATGTTTGTAACAAATACTAATATTAGTTATAGAGCTTATTGTAATAAAAATTCACGACACTTAAAGTTGACCATTTTATCTGTTACGTTAACTTTTTCATAATAAAAACCAAATGATACAAAATAAAGTATAAAATAAATTTGTTACGCAATTATTTTCGTAACAAAAGTATTTATTCTCTTAAATTATATTAAAATGAATTCAAATAAAAAGGAAAAAAATGTTTTTTATTAATAAATTCAAGTGCTGAGGCATCCTGCGCTTAGAGCCTAGGTCAAGTTCAATCATGAATGAGTGTGTGGGGTTTAAAAAAAATAGCAAAAGTAAGAGAAAATTTATAGAGTTAGAATAAAATATCTTTTTAGGTTAAATATATATACATGTGTATTGGTTTGTCTAATTTTAATTTAAATAATATTTTGTAAAAAAAAATAATATATTTTTATGACAAACTATATGAGTTGAATGATATGGCCTAGTATCCGAAAGGATCGCACAAATTATAAATGATGGACACATGGTTAATCTAGATCATGCATGAAATTTGAGTGCGACATGTATTTTAATACTTGTCGAGTGTTGGTTCTGGATTTTTTGCCACATTTGAATATATTTAATTAGCTTTCGTTAATTACAATGTCAGATTCTCCATTATTCATTCATAGTCCCCGCCGGATGAGCTCCTAGGAGTCCGCAAAAATCACCAACATTGTTCAATTGAAAGTTTTCGATAATCTTAAAAACAAAAAGAACTAAGATATGTTCAAGTAATTTTTTAGAATAACTGAAGAAACAATTTAAACTTATACCTATTTGACAAAATATATTTAATGTGTTCAAAGTTTCTATTGTATCCATTTGAGGATAAGTACAAAATATTGCCAACCCATTGAAAATATTAAAATGATTATTGTGTTATCAAACGCCAGTAGCCTACAAATGATTACAACTGGTAAGCCACACTATTTTGGTGTGTTATTTCGAAAAACATCACTAAAAACTAAAATAAACTATAAGTTATGTTCTTTTGTGAATTTTACCGCAAATTTTTACTATTCAGATTCTTTTTTTTCTCCAAAAATATCACATCAAACAATTTTATTTTTTTATATTATACTACAAATTTATTTTACATTCAAAATATCACATCAACCTCTATTTATATCACATCAAACAACTATTCAAATTCAACCTTTCACTATTAAAAAATCCAAACCCAAAAACTAAAACCCACAAACCATAAACAATAAGAGAATATAAAATTCTTTCAATTACAAAAAGTACAATTCTCGTCCTCATTTTTACATTATCTTGATTGCTAAAATCTTGATGACAGAATTGGACTTCTAGAAGGCGGGCCGGGTTAGACAGCGCGCCTTACATAACTATACTTTATTGTGAGGCATCGGTAAGGGGACGGAGCTAGAAGGTTGCATTCCGGCGCCGACATACTTTTCCATGCCACATTAAAAATGCGGATAGTCTCCACCACCACACCTTGTCGTAATGGTTCGATAGCATCTATCTACACTACAAAACACTTACATTTGATGCGTGGATCTATGCATTTCTTGTGCTTTCACATCACCTATAGCAATTCTTTCTCGGCTTGCAATTACAAGCCGTTGCCGTTTCAGATTCGCAATATTTATCGAAGGAACTTTATCTTCAAAAAATGGTTCAAACATCGTTGGATTTTCCTATCAAACGAAACATGTTGGTCAAAACAATAATCTACAATTGTTAGATTTATTGGGACAATTAATTTTATTTTGATGACAATCAAATATAATCTCAATGTTTTGAATAACAATCTAAATTATTATCTAATATTATTCTTTGATTTGTTAGCTAAATCTATGATGGATGGATTTATTTAATTATAAAAATCAACGAGTTACTATGACCTACTCTATATAAAAATAATAATAATAATAAAAACAACTCCATCGTGTTCGTAGAGCTAAGATTTGGAACAATAAAAGAAAACAAACACCGATCTACCTTTTGGATACAACCAAAAAACTATTTCTCATTCTCTTTCTAGGATAAGCAATGACCGGATGTTTGAGATCTATGATTTATTTTTCCATAGCATTCTATATGTTTTAATGGATATATTCTAACATCAACATTATACCAAATATGCCAAAAAAATCCATATGTAATTAAGATTAGTGTCAAGAACACCAAATATTAATTCTCCACACTATTTGTTCACCTTTAGACATTTTACCACCATTCTTCTATACTTCTCATGATCATCTTCATCATCTTCCAATGATGCCCTATCAGAAATATAAAAAAATAAATTGAATAACACCAACAACAGTGATGGACATATTAAATTAATTCATTGCTTAAAACAGCAGGCAGAGGAACCTGAAAAGGCAATTCCGTATGTGGTAACTTGGATTATCAATCTTCAATTCCAAAAGATCGACCTGGCTCCGCAGTTCGCAAGCATTGCTTTGTTTACCTCCATGCAGGCTGAATCCATTGAAGCGTATAGGGCAAACATAGTCGATCAGTGCTCTGAGTGTGAGTGCGTGGAGTGCCGCCGTCACTGTCAGTGTGATTGTGTGTATATGGAACAACAAAATCACACTGAAGTTTCTAGAGGAATTAAGCTTCAAGAAAGCAGTATCCTCGATAGACATCGCGTCTCCACCACCTCAGTATCGTAATGGTTCGATAGTATCCATGACGCATAAAATCTACTCTCATAAGGTTTAAAAATAAAAAAAGGAAAGTTATGTTAATTTACAAAGAGTTCAAATGACTTATTAGAACGAAAAACAAAGAACATTAACAACTAACGTGCTTGTGAAATTAATTACTAGAACAAAACGACATAAAACAATGAAGAAAATCGCTAATAACTCACTTGTGAAAATCGTCGCCAAATATCGTGAAAGGTGTTAGTTTTAGGATCGATAGTACTAAATCAAAAACAAGTTCGAAAGGAACAAAATAGAATTTTATTAAAGAACCGGAACAAGAAAAAAAGTTGAAACACAATCGAAACACGCTATATGGCTCAAATTTTTGTAGGTCAGCCACTATTATCAAATAGGAGACTAAAACAACGACGAACACCAGCACCCAAGAAACACCTATCTTCTACCCAAAGAATCGAAACCCCACTCTCGCAATGGAAACGGAATGAAAAGAGAATTCGAACCGTAAAAATCCTCACAAACACTCCCCAGAGTACACATCGAAAATAACCTCTCAATTTCACGGTGAAAAATCACCGGAACCACCGGTATTGCAAGTGAGATAGAGTGAGAGAGAAAGAACCAACGGCGCACACATAGTATTGTGTGTTTTGTGGTGTGGTGCAACAATATATATTAAACAATGAACGGTTCATATTGAAGCCCTAGGATGGATGGCTGGGATTTGATCTGGGGAGACGGGTTGCATGTGGGTCGGGTCAGCGTGGGGTTTAGATCGGGTCGCAGCTCATAGAAAGGCAATGATATGGATGCGGGTCAGACGGGTCGGATCTACGGGCCAAAATACAACGAAAGGCTTTGCCAGACCAATGTTATATTTATTATCTAACGATGGTGAACACGTGGGCAGTCCGCTACATGCACAAAATTAGTATGTGACGCATATTGAGATACGTGTCAGACACTATTATAGTGGACACGTGGTTTATGCGCTTCACGTACGAAGTTAGTCTGTGACGTGTATTGAGATACATGTGAGACACTATTTTGGTGAACACACAGTTGATCCGTTTCATGCACAAATTAGTGTATGGCATGTATTGAGATACGTGTCAGCTACTATTTTTTGTGAAATGTGGTTGATCCGCCTCATGCATGAAATTAGTATGTGATGTTTATTGAGATGCATGTCAGACATTATTTTGGTGAACACATGCTGGATCCGTTGCATGCACGAAATTTGTGTGACACGTATATTGAGATACATGTTAGATATTATTTTGGTGACACATTGTTGATCCACATCATGCAAGGAATTAGTGTGTGTTGTGTATTGAGATACGTGCCAACCACTATTTTGGTGAACACGTGGTTGATCTGCTTCATGCACGGAATTAATGTGTGGCGCATATTGAGATGCGTGTTAGACATTATTTTGGTGAACACATTGTGGATCCACTTCATGCACGAAAATGAGTGTATTAACTACAAAAAATGACCTATTTTATGCCTAATCTATATCTTTTTAACCTAAAAAAGAATCATATTTTATTCTAATTCTGTTTTTGTTTTTAGTTTGCTTGTTTTGCTCTGACTTTTTAATTGCACTATACATGTAAAAGTATATATATTTTGCGTGTCAAACAAAAATGCTTAGATATTATCGCCACACATTATTTATCAACACAAGACACAAGAAAATAAATATATCAACTACAAGAAAGACCTATTTTATGCCTAATATATATCTTTTTAACCTAAAAAGATTCATATTTTATTCTAACTATGTACTTTTTCGTCTTTTTAATTTTTTTTATTTTAGCACGAATTTTCAAATATATTTTATATGTAATTGTATTTAGAAAGATACATGTAGTTTTAAGTAAAAAAAAAAAAAAAACTGTTTAAATTTCTAGACATTCCTTATTAAAAAGAATAAACTAATCAAAATATTTGGGATGGAGAGAATAATAGATATTATAAGGGGAAAAAAATCCATTATTTAATGATATCCATTTAATTTGATGGAATTGTAAATTTAAAAGACATTTATTTTTCTTTTGACACCTATAAAATATCATAAACGATATTTTTGTCGTTGCGAGAAAAAAAAAAATAATAATCAAAATCAAACGTCAAAGCTTGCTTTGATATTAGAATACATATGATTGTAATGTCAAGTGTGAAGTCGAGTGTTTAATTCAAACAATGACTATCTCCTATTAATAATACCAAGCAATTAAATGGAAATTGAGGGTGAATTTACTTTACAATTTTTCATATTTTATTCTTCAAAATGTTTACTATTCCTGTAAACATACATTGTTTCCATAATATCGATATTTTGTGTCGATGTCAGATAATCATTACCAAAAAATATTAATTTAACTTCATAAAGTGGTCTTCGAATTTGAATATCACTCCAATTGTGTGCTAAATGTAACTATTTGGGCTATTAGTTAGATTAAGCCTATATTAAGTGATCTATTAATTTATTGGGCTTAAATGTATTTAGTAAGTGCGGACCTCCTATGTGCAAAAACCCGGTAACTTATTAATTAGGTGATGAGACCAATTAATAATAAGGGATATAAATTAGGGTTGTGATCCCAGGTCTAGACGCAACATCCATTACTTTTCATATCTCATCGTGAGAGTAACGACAGAAACCACATGCGATTTTCTCAGGAGGGACTGCGTCATAAACTTGAAGAAAACAAAACCCTCTGTCAATTTGCAAATTCGAATCCGACTATGCTGAGAAATAATGTTATATCTAATTTGTTTTATTTTTTATCTCAATTATTTCAACACGACATATCCTAGACTTAGGTTTAATTCCTGATAAGTTCCAACAAGACCATTTTCTTAAAGCTTCGGAATTTTCCTTAGAATGGTGTCCGAAGAGTAAAATTCGACGTCGCCCTTTCAATGGTCTCAAAAATTTCGAGACGAAATCCAAAGCTGCAGGCATCATAGGTTAATATTAATTCCTACTTGTCTCGGAATTTTTGAGACCACTTTTTTTGGGTTTTGGATTTCCGAAGCATTTATCTCGCTCTTAGATTTCAATTATACATCAAGAAATATGATCATTTAATTTTAAATATATGGATAAATCTAATCATTCAAGGAAGCACTTAAAAATTATTCGAAACGATAAATTAACATAAACAAAATCACTTGACGATTGCAATTGTCATTCAACAATGATGGCGAGAAAATAAGAATGCCTCTCTGTAGCAAAGAGATTATAACTCAAATAGATCAGCTCTCATTTTGCATGTAAAAAGTTAGCGATTTGAACCATTAGATAAAAAAAAAAAAAAAAAAAAAAAAGAAAAAGAAAGAGAGCGAGGGAAAGAAAGAGAAAGAGAAACCGCACAAAATAGTTATATAGTATAGAAAAAAGCGGGTAAAAAACATATTTTAAATAGTTATGTAATTTTTCTGGATTGTACAAACAACGCTTTAAACCCGATATTTAAGAATAATTCACATACTAGTGACATTAAGTTAATTATGATACAAATATGAAATTTCTTTTTGATTTGTACTTTACAAAAAAAATACTATTTTACCAAATGATTGTTACTTTACAAAAATACAAATTTTGTATTAAAACAACAAATCAAATTTTTTGCTATAAGAAATTAGTATTCGTATCACTACATTTAGAATTTTATTTTTTATACATAAATATTGTTGTAATGAAAAACAATGATATTGTTTCCCAAATTTCTTTGCATTTTTTTTACACTGTTTTTCCTTCAACATCTTCATCACATAGTTACACTGCGGATGATGTGAAAAAAATATGGAGAATTAAAAGAAGACAACAATAGATTCAAAAAGCAATAGTAACAATGAGGATTCTACAATTTCTAATATATAACATAAAAGTTAAAACTTTATCTCTGTTTCGCACTCAACCACCGATCCCAAATCGATTGGGCATGTCTCTCGGCCACCATCCCATTACCCTTGAAGCCTCCACTCTAAATTCTTTTTCATTTTCCTTCCGTTTATAAACGAATTACAAAAGACAATTAATGTTGATCTGGACTGGCATAGAGATAAAAGAAGAAGACATATTCGTAAAGTCATATTCGCATACAATGCCATAGTAGATCCAAACTTGGTCAGCCATGGCCGTCGAAGAACACCTAAAGCATCCCCAACTCATGCCTGGAAGCCGACGTCAAAATCTCCAGCAACCAACCAACAGACATGCTCTTCCATTTCAGTTGCGCTAGGAATTCAAATAAAAAAGAAAAACATCACAATCCCTTGGTTGGTGATTTAGTTGTACGTAGAGTGTGAGAATATTTCTAAAATACCGTATTTATAGTATAAAAATTAAGATTTATATATATTTTTTAATAAAAATCAATAATTTTCCTTTGCAAATATACCAAGGTCATTTCATTTATTAAAATAATTAATTACTTCTCTTTTCCAAAAAAGGTGGTTGAGTAACCCAATAGAGAGAGTCTACATTTTGTTCTAAACATGTGTGAATATATATACAAACTACTTTATATATTACTACTGTTATTATTTTTTATTACTATAATAATATTTTATTTTACTAAGAAAAAAATTGCACCAATCAAAAAATAAATAAATAAATAAAATTATTAAAAATTCATGGTTTATACAAAAAAATAAGATAAGATATTGCAATTATTAATTTAAAATTAAATAATAAGTTACTATTAACTTAAATATTAATAACTAAATGTATGAAGTAATTTTTATATAATAATATATATTATAACTAAGATATGTTTAGATAAAAATATTATTATGAAAAATAAAAATATTTATTATATTTATCCTATCTTTTTACTATACTCAATTACAAAAAAAAAATACCGATTATGTTTTATATCTTATAGTAATATATATTTAAAGAATTTATAATTAATAAATTTGAAATAATATTTCTCTTAAAAAGTTGTTCTTGTAGAAAATTGGATAAAATATTAATTTTTAAAATATATATATAATTAATCATTATGCATATCTCACACAATATTTAAATAAAATAAAAATTACTACATGCAATGCAATGACCAATACAATTGCACAATTAATCAAAAATATAAAAATCAAAAAATCAAAATTTCTGAGATATGTTTAGATAAAAATATTTATATGTATCCCATTTTTTACTATACTCAATTACTAAAAGATAAATAAAATATTGATTATGTTTTATATCTTATAGTAATATGTATTTAAAGAATTTATAATTAATAAGCTTGAAGTAATAATTTTCTTAAAAAAAATTTTCTTGTAAAAAATGGAATGAATAATATAAAATAATTAAGCTATACAAAATATCTTATATATTCGTATAAATATACTACATTTACAAATATACTTTTTTTTTTATTAATGTAGCATATATTTAAAAAAATAACTATAAATTATAATTGTATTTTTTTACAATATAAAAAATAGAAATAGTAAAGATACAATTACATCAAAATAATCTTTTTGTATATTATGAAATAAATAATTTAATAAAGTATATATATATAACAACAATTTAAGAAAAAAAATATTAAAAAATAATCATTATGCATGTCTTACACATTATTTAAATAGAATAAAAAACTATTAAATACAATGGTCAATCCAATTGCACAACCAATCAAAAATTAAAGAAAAAAATTCAAAATAACTTAAAATTCATACTTTACATCTTAGTAGACCCCACAATGAGCTCTTATAATAGTATATATACAATATATAAGATAAGATATCCCTTCAAACAATTCCATCAAACAAACACACCATACAAAAATTTCAACATTTTGAACTAAAAATAATAGTAAAAGGCCTATCATATAGATACTTTAATTTAAACACCATACTTCTCCGATCCTTGTAATGTCAAAACTCACATCATAATCGTAAGAGGTGGCCTAGTGGTGTTAACAATGAATTCGTTACTGTGGGGTTTTAGGTTCTGAACCCCTCTACATGGAAGTTTCTAGAGGAATTAGGCTTCAAGAAAGCCGTATCCTTGATAGTCATCCCATTTCCAAAACCACCGTTTCGTAATGGTTCGATAGCATCTACGATGCATAAAATTTACCCTGACAAGGTAAAAAAAAAATAGAGATCAAATGGTTTAGTAGAATGAAAAATAAAAAAAAAAACATCAATAATATATAATTCCCTTGCGAAATTAATGGTTAGAAGAAAACATAAAACGACAGAGAAATTGAAAAGTAACTCACTTGTGAAATTAATTACTAGAAGGAAACATAAAACAACGAAGAAAGTTTCTAATAACTCACTTACAAAATTTGTCGCCAAATATCATCAAAGGGTCTGCAAAACTTTCTTTTCGGTTGTGTAGAAGAAAGCAAGACCAACGTGCTATTTATTTACTAACGATGCCGAACACGTGGTTGATTGGCATCGCATGCAAATTAATGTGTGACATGTAATGAGATACGTGTCGGGTCCTTAGTTTATAAAATTTTATTATTTATATGGTGCATACGGTGCTTTATATATTTTTTGTTGTGGATTTTAAGTTTAACTAATAATTTTGATTTAATAGATAATTGCGTATTTTTATGAAGAATTGTAAGAACTGAATAATGAAAAAATTGACACAAAATAGCAAGTGACCAAACTTCAATTATTAATAAATATAATTTGCCTGTAAAATTAAATATACTTAGATAATATCGTTACACACTATTCATCAACATAAACACGAGAAATGACTCTACTAATGACAAAATAAGTTTACTTTATGCATAATAAATATCTTTTTAGGTTAAAAAGATAATATATATCTTTTTAATTTAAAAAGACTCATATTTTATTCCAAATATGTTCTTTTTCTTTTTTCAGCTTATCTTTCTTTTAACATGACCTTGAAATGCAATTTTTATGTAAAAATAACTGTATTTTGCATAAAAACAAAAATAATTAGATAGTATTGTCACACACTATTTAACGACATAATGCACTAGAATATAAGTGTACCAACTAAAAAAACATCTATTTTATGCCTAATGTATATATATACATATATAAATCTAAAATGTAATTTTACATGTAAAACAAAATTACTTGGATAATATTGTCGGACACTATTTATCAACATAGAACATGATACGAGGGTGTACCATCGACCAAAAAAAGCGCCTATTTTTATGCCTAATATATGGGTGTTTTGGTTTTGATTTCAAATCGAAACCATCATCCACTACCAAAAAATCTGGCTTTCGCCATGAAACATTGACTCGTAACAACATGTTTGTAACAAATACTAATATTAGTTATAGATTTTATTGTAATAAAAATTCGAGATACTTAAAGTTGACCATTTTATCTGTTACGTTAATTTTTTCGTAATATAAACCAAATGATACAAAATAAAGTATAAAATAAATTTGTTACGCAATTATTTTCGTAACAAAAATATTTATTCTTTTAAATTATATTAAAATAAATTCAAAGAAAAGGAAAAAAATGTTTTTTATTAATAAATTTAAGTGCCGAGGCATCCTTCGCTTAGAGCCTAGGTCGGGTTCAATCCTGAATAAGTGTGTGTGGGGTTAAAAAAAATAGCAAAAGTAAGAGAAAATTTATAGAGTTAGAATAAAATATCTTTTTAGGTTAAATATATATACATGTGTATTGGTTTGTCTAATTTTAATTTAAATAATATTTTGTAAGGAAAAATAATATATTTTTATGAGAAACTATATGAGTTGAATGATATGGCTTAGTATCCGAAAGGATCGCACAAATTATAAATGATGGACATATGGTTAATCTATATCATGCATGAAATTTGAGCGCGACATGTATTTTAATATGTGTCGAGCATTGGTTCTGGATTTTTTGCCACATTTGAATATATTTAATTAGCTTTCGTTAATTACAATAATGTCAGATTCTCCATGATTTATTTATAATCTCCACCGGCTGCGCTCCTAGGAGTCTGCAGAAATCACCAGCATTGTTCAATTGCAAGTTTTCGACAATCTTAAAAACACAAAGAACTAAGATGTGTTCAAGTAATTTTTTTAGAATAACGGTAGAAACAATTTAAACTTACGTAGCTTCACCCATTTGACAAAATATATTTAATGTGTTCAAAGTTTCTATTGTATCCATTTGAGGATGAGTACAAAATATTGTCAAATTATTGAAAACATTAAAATGATTATTGTGTTATCAAACACCAGTAGCCTACAAATGATTACAACCGGTAAGCCACACTATTTTGGTGTGTTATTTCGAAAAACATCACTAAAAACTAAAATAAACTATAAGTTATGTTCTTTTGTGAATTTTACTGCAAGTTTTTACTATTCAGATTTTTTTTTCCTCCAAAAATATCTCATCAAACAATTGTTATTTTTTTATATTATACTACAAATTTATTTTACATTCAAAATATCACATCAATCTCTATTTATATCACGTCAAACAACTATTCAAATTCAACCTTTTACTATTAAAAAGTCCAAACCCAAAAACTAAAACCCATAAACTATAAACAATAAGAGAATATAAAATTCTTTCAATTACAAAAAGTACAATTCTCGTCCTCATTTTTACATTATCTTGATTGCTAAAATCTTGATGACAGAATTGGATTTCTAGAAGGCGGGCCAGGTTAGATAGCGCGCCTTACATAACTATACTTTATTGTGAGGCATCGGTAAGGGGACGGAGCTAGAAGGTTGCATTCCGGCGCCGACATACTTTTCCATGCCACATTAAAAATGCGGATAGTCTCCACCACCACACCTTGTCGTAATGATTCGATAGCATCCATCTACACTACCAAACATTTACATTTGTTGCGTGGATCTATGCATTTCTTGTGCTTTCACATCGCCTATAGCAATTCTTTCTTGGCTTGCAATTACAAGCCGTTTCCGTTTTAGATTCGCAATATTTATCGAAGGAACTTCATCTTCAAAAAACGGTTCAAACATCGTTGGATTTTCCTATCAAACGAAACATGTTGGTCAAAACAATAATCTACATTGTTAGATTTATTGGGACAATTAATTTTATTTTGATAAAAATCAAATATAATCTCAATGTTTTGAATAACAATCTAAATTATTATCTAATATTATTCTTTGATTTGTTAGCTAAATCTATGATGGATAGATTTATTTAATTATAAAAATCAATGGGTTACTACGACCTACTCTATATAAAAAAATAAAAAATAAAAACAACTCCATCGTGTTCGTAGAGCTAAGATTTGGAACAAAAAAAGAAAACAAACACCGATCTACCTTTTGGATAGAACCGAAAAACTCTTTCTCATTCTCTATTCAGGATAAGCAATGACCGGATGTTTGAGATCTATGATTTATTTTTCCATAGCATTCTATATGTTTTAATGGATATATTCTAAGATCAACATTATACCAAGTATGCCAAAAAAAATTCATATGTAATTAAGATTAGTGTCAAGAACACCAAATATTAATTCTCCACACTATTTGTTCACCTTTAGACATTTCACCACCATTTTTTTATACTTTTCATGATCATCTTTATCATCTTCCAATGATGCCCTATCAGAAATATAAAAAAATAAATTGAATAACACCAACAACGATGATGGACAGATTAAATTAATTCATTGCTTAAAACAGCAGGCAGAGGAACCTGAAAAGGCAATTCCGTATGTGGTAACTTGGATTATCAATCTTCAATCCCAAAAGATCGACCAGGCTCCGCAGTTCGCAAGCATTGCTTTGTTTACCTCCATGCAGGCTCAATCCACTGAAGCGTATAAAGCAAACATAGTCGATCCGAGCTTTGAGTGTGAGTGCGTGGAGTGCCGCCGTCACTGTCAGTGTGATTGTGGGTATATGGAGCAACAAAATCACACGGAAGTTTCTAGAGGAATTAAGCTTCAAGAAAGCAGTATCCTCGATAGACATTGTGTCTCCACCACCACCGTATCGTAATGGTTCGATAGCATCCATGACGCATAAAATCTACTCTCATAAGGTTTTAAAAAAAAGTTCTATTAATTTACTATGAACCTCTCAATTTCACGGTGAAAAATCACCGGAACCACCGGTGTCGCAAGTGAGATAGAGTGAGAGAGAATGAACCAACGGCGCACACATAGTATTGTATGTTTTGTGGTGTGTTGCAGCAATATATATTAAACAATGAACGGTTCAGATTGAAGCCCTAGGATGGATGGCTGGGATTTGATGTGGGGAGACGGATTGCATGCGGGTCGGGTCAGCGCGAGGTTTAGATCGGGTCGCAGCTCACATAAAGGCAATAATATAGACGCGGGTCAGACAGGTCGAATCTACGGGACAAAATACAACGAAAGGCTTTGCCAAACTTTCTTTCGGTTATTAAGAAGAGAGCCAGACCAATGTGATATTTATTATCTAACGATAGTGAACACGTGGGTGGTCCGCTACATGCACGAAATTAGTGTGTGACGCGTATTGAGATACGTGTCAAGACACTATTATAGTGGACACGTGGTTGATGCGCTTCACGCACGAAGTTAGTCTGTGACGCGTATTGAGATACATGTGAGACACTATTTTGGTGAACACACAGTTAATCCGCTTCATGCACAAATTAGTGTATGGCGTGTATTGAGGTACATGTCAGCTACTATTTTTTGTGAAATGTGGTTGATCCGCTTCATGTCTCACACATTATTTAAATAGAATAAAAAATTATTAAATATAATGGTCAATCTAATTGCACAACCAATCGAAAATTAAAGAAAAAAAATTCAAAATTACTTAAAATTCATGTTTTACATCTTGGTGACCCCACAATGAGCTCTTGTAATAGTATATATAAGATTAATTACTTCTCTTTTCCAAAAAAGACGATTGAATAACCCAATAAAAGGAGTCTATGTTTTGTTCTAAAAATATGTGAATATATATACAAATGACTATATATATTACTATTGTTACTGTTTTTTATTACTATAATAATATTTTATTTTTACTAAGAAAAAATTGCACCAATCAAAAAAAGAAAAATAAATAAATAAATAAAATTATTAAAAATTCATGCTTTATACAAACAATAAGATAAGATATTGGTATTGTTAATTTAAAATTAAATAATAAGTTACTATTATCTTAAATATTAATAACTAAATGTATAAAGTAATTTTTATCTAATAATATATATTATAACTAAGATATGTTTAGATAAAAATATTATTATGCAAAATAAAAATTATTTATTGTATTTATCCTATTTTTTTACTACACTCAATTATTAAAACAAAACCCGATTATATTTTATATCTTATAGTAATATATATTTAAAGAATTTATAATTAATAAGTTTTAAATATTATTTCTTTTAAAAAATTGTTCTTGTAAAAAATAGGATAAAATATTATTTTTTAAAAAATATATATATAATTAATCATTATGCATATCTCACACAATATTTAAATAAAATAAAAATTACTACATACAACGACCAATCTAATTGCACAATCAATCAAAAATTAAAAAAAAAAAATCAAAATTCTAAGATATGTTTAGATAAAAATATTTAAAGAATTTATAATTAAAAATTTTGAAATAATAATTTTCTTAAAAAAAATGTTCTCGTAAAAAATGGAATGAATAATCTAAAATAATTAAGCTATACAAAATATCTTATATAATACATGTTCTTAGTTAACATGGAATATGTGCTATCTGCAATTTTGACATGTGTTATTTAAGGATGACAATGAAACGAGTTCGAGACAAATTTTGCAAATCCCAAAATACACCGCGTTAGAAAATCATAGGTCTTGGAGCCTGCCCCATCCCGGCTTAGCCCCGTCCCAAAATTCGTCCCATCTTGAACACGTTAGGTTCGAACCCAACCCGAAAAATCTGCATTATTTTATAAAATATATTTATATATTGATTTTTTTTATGTTATATAATAAAATATAATAAAAAATTCAGATATTAAAGGTTAAATATTTTAGATTTTAAAAATTTTAATAATAGAAATAATAATATCTTTTCAATAGGAGTGATAGATAAGTAACATAAATAGTTAGTAGAAAAAGTAGTAAATTGTATTGTAATATTATTATAAGATTAGCTAGAAATATTAGTTGTTGCTAACTACTATTTTATATATAATATAATATTATACAGTATAATATAGAATAGATATATATACAAAAATGTGTGTGCAGCTTGTGATATACATGTATATGTATATTGTATGTACTAATATATATTTTATTAAAGTAGTGAGTGAATTAATATATGTATAAAAGCAATCCGAGAGAGAGAGAAAGTGAGAGATGTAGGGTGTAGGGTGTGTTTCTTCAAGAGGTTTTGGGGAAATTTGGATTTGACTTTAGTTTTTATTTGAATTTTGAGATGAGTTTGAATTTTAATGTTTCTTTTGGGTTTGGATTCGGTTGGAGTTTGAGGAGTTTTGATGTGTATTAATTTGATGGGTATGAACAGGGTCGTTTTGGACTTTTTTTTAGGCCGTGAGCGAAAATAAATTATAGGCCCTATAAATACATGATTAAAATGTATTTTTAATAATATTACTGATCGACGTTGATTGGACAAGAGGTTGAACGTAACCGTCTGAATAATGTCAATTTCAGAAAAGAATATGAAAAACGGTTTGTCTGAAAGTTTGAAAATGAAGAAAGATTGAAGGAGGATGAAAGTTATATGAGAAAATGTGTGACAAGTTTGATCGAATTGATGGGGGCAATACGATAAAGTGTAAAGTAAAGAAGCGTAGACGATTAAAAAGAAATAAAATATATATATATAATTAGAAATTTAAATTTAATTTTAAAATTAAATAGAGAAAAAAAATATAAATTAAAAGTTAAAATTTAATTTTCAAATTTAATAATAATAATAATAATATATAAAATATAGCCCTCTATTAATTAGGATCTTGAGCCGTTCCTCACCTTGCTCCTGTTATGAGCCGTCCCTGGATATGAATATAATAATATAAATATATAGTAATTTGTATAATTTAATTATAAATTTATATTATATTTATATATATATTTTTTATTTATTTGTATTATAAAAAAATTTATTCTTTATAAAATAACATATATATTTTATTAAATTATAATTATTATAAATTTTTTATATTTATAATTAAAAAAAGAAAAGAAAAAGGACAGACTCACAGTGAATCCTCCAAACTCCCTCCAGTCCACTATTGGGCTGGATCACTGTCCAAAATTGGGTCGGAGAAACAGACCCGTAATTATGTATTTTATTCCAAACAAATAATCTATATATATAGGCATGATCAAATCACACTAATGGCTACAAAAGATACACCACGTGGCCACGTAATCGAAATGTGTAATTTAATAACAACATCCACGTCGAGGTGATTTATTATATACGTTTATAACAAATTGAAATATATAACACTTAACAATGATGCAAAGTTTAAATTTAAAATTCTCCCTTTGTACCGCAATAAGGGTGACATTTACTTTATGTAAATACATTTTTTAATATTAATATTATATTAAATTGTAATAAAAAAGACAAAAATATTCTTATTAGTATGGTGTAATATAAAAAGAATGATATTTGTGTAATATATTGTAAGTTGAAAGAGTATTTATTATGTGAAGTAAGTAGTACAATTACTAAATTAGAAAATAGTAACCTTATTTTGGGACATACAAAAATAAAAATTTTAACTTTTCAATGAGACGGAAGGAGTATGATAGAAAAAAAAAATTCTATAAATTCAAATAATATAAATAATTACATAAATATATAGTATTATTCTTTATAATTATTAATTTAAATAGGTTCGGGGGCAGACACAGTTTAATTAAATAAAATTGTACATATGATTAGTGTAGTTATATACATGAGTTTGTTTACTTTGTATTTTTTTTTGTTTTTTTAGTGTATAGAGTTACGTTGGAAATATTTTTATATTGAATAATTAATTTTTTAGGAATAAATAGATATAATATTATATATATTATATTTCTTCAGTTCCATCGGAATTGAATTCGGACATTGTATTTAAGGTGAGTATATTTGATTAGTTAATAATAATTATATATGATATTATTATATTATTTTTTGTATAATTAATAATATTTATAGTTTTAAAGTAAATTTAATATATATGATTAAAAAAATTAAAATATATGTTTAAATATTTAAAAATTATATAAAAATTAAAAAATATATGCAATATGAATACCATTTTATAATACAAGTAAATAAAAAACTATTTTTGCTTATTTATAATTAACATAAATCAATTTTACAAAAGATGTGTAGTTTTAAATATAGATAAAAATATTTATTTTTTTTGGAGGAGAGAGAGGTAGAAATAAAGGAATTTTGAGTGGATCCTAACGTCATTTATAATATTGTATATTACGTAGTTAATTAAATTAATTTATATTTGTTAAATATATTTTGATTCAATAATTTTTACCAAAAATACAAATGTGTCAATCGTTAGGAGACAAACAAAAATGAAAATAGTGTCAATTGTTGTGGCATGGAGGAAATATAATATCGCATAGATCCTATTTGTAGGTGTGTTTGTTTGAAAAATTGGGAGAAATTTGTATTATTTATTCAATTTTTTTTTAAAAAAATATTAAATCAAATATTTATTTATTTTATTTTTTATATTATACTAAAAATTAATTTTATATTTAAAATATTATATTAATAATTTATATTAAATCATAGCTTTTTATTAATAGTTTACTAATATACTCCCTCCGTCCACAAAAAAAAATATACAATTACTTTTGGCACGGTGTTTAAGAAATAATAATATTTTAATTATAGTGGGTAGTTAAAACTTAAAAGTAGTGTAATGACATTTTTGCCCTTGCTTTTGGTGCAAAAGTAATGATGTGATGTAAAGTAAAGGTATTTGTGGAAAAAAGTAAAGTATTTAATGAAATATTTACTTTATAATTGGACGTTCCAAAATATAAACATGTATACTTTCTAACTGGACGACGGAGGGAATATTATTCTATTTGCCTCATCTTTGGCGGGACTGATGTATTAATATTTATAAAAAATCAGTCAATCTAGAAAAATTAAATGCACAAATCCCGTATGTATGTAATGTATTGATCCATTCCCGTCTCCCTACTCTTCCTTTTTATGGCTTGAAAATTGTGTAATATTTTTCGGTTTGAAATAATAAAAAGAGAAACAAAAAAACAAATCAGCTAATCCCATAGCCAACTTCAGTTGGCACACACACTTATTTACATTAAAATACACGTCACTCCCAATTTTTACTCCTTAAATCCATAAATAATTAAGGGTAAATTATCTTTTATTTATTACATTAAACTCCCTGATAAAATTTGCATGAAACACTATTTTTATCGAAAATTGATATTCGGTTCTAAATAAAGATCTAAATTACGTAAATTTTATATAAATAAAAAATAAAAAATATGTTAAATAAGTTTTTTTAATAAAATAAAAAAATAATAAATAATTATTCATTTTATACCTTTTGAAGATATTGTTATCTGATTTTTTACAAAAATTGTAAAAATAAATTATTGATAAATTATTTATTTATTTATTTTATTAAAAAAATTTATTTAAGATATTTTATATTTTATATTTTTATAAAACTTGCATAATTTAGGTAACCAAACATCAGTTTTGAACAATACTGAGTGTTTCGTGCAAATTTTACATTAACACATGAGAATTATACGCAATAAATAAAACACAGTGTTTTGTGCATTTTTATAAAATACAAGGGAGTGTTATATAATTTATCCAATAATTAAATACATGTACTCTTATTTTTCTTAGAGCTGACAAAAATTGAGCCGACATCGACAATTCGATACGAACTCGACACAAAATAATTGAATTTGAATCAACGTAGAATCTGATAAGATAATAAACAAATTAAATTAGAATTGATTAATTTAATCAGTTTAAAATATTCAATACAAATCGATCTCATTTCTCTTGTAGTATGAGTCTTGATTGATTGGTGATTGCTTCAAGAACTAAACTCACACATCCATACATAAACACACGTAAACATGCCTACACGGTAGTACTAGTAGCAGCAGTACACAGCCAGCCTTGTGTTGTGTGTGTGTCTCTCTCTCTCACTATATATATATATATATCGTAATCTCTCTCATCCTCTCTGCAGCTAGCGAACCAACCAACCAACCAACCACAACCTTTTGGACACACACACAGTACAGTACAGTGTAAACCAGACTCCCTTTCTTCTTTCTTTATTCATCATTACATCTCAGAACAACAAGAGTCAGACCAGACACCAGAACCAGATCAGAAGAAGACTGACCTCTCTCTCTCTCTCTCTCTCTTACTTACACAGTTACACTGATATGTCCAAACACAACCAGTCCTTCCCTTCTAACCTCTTTGGAAAACTCCCCAACTCTCTCTTCTCTCTCTCTCTCCTCCCAATAACATATCTATCCCACACTCCACGAAGCTCGACCTTTCATTATATTCAACCCAATTCCTTCTTCAACAACAACAACCATCGCCCAATCCCCCACCATACACATGCACCTCCTCCTACTGTCATGAATATATATATATATACATACACCACACATATCAGTCATCAATCATCATCGTCATCATCGACTGTCACTACCGCTCAACAGAAATCAAAAGGGAAAACAAAAACATTTACACTCCATCTCTGGTTGTTGATTGATGGGGTGTCTGGTCTCTCAGCTCGCCGCCAAGTTTGCTTTCTTTCCGCCGTCGCCGCCGACCTATCAGGTCAAGGAAAGGGCCGACGGCAAGCTCATTGCTGTCTCCACAACTTCCTCCCTCCCCATAGCCGCCGTTGACGATTCCTATCTCGATGTCCTCTCTGTCCCCACCAAGCGTGGCAACAAGATTGTGATCTTCTACCTCAGAAACCCTTCCGCCAGGCTCACTCTCCTCTACTCCCATGGCAATGCTACTGATCTGGGCCAGCTCCATGACCTCTTTCTTCAGCTCAAAGCCAATCTCAGAGTTAATCTCATCGGGTCGGTCTGCACCACCTCTGCTCCTATTTCTTCACCTTTTTTTTTTTTTTTTTGTGCATTTTGCTCTGTTCACCAATTGGATTTTATTACATTGGTTATGCATTTGTGTGTGTTTCTTTCTTTTTTGGGAATTTTGGATTAGCTATGATTGGATGCTGTGATTTTTTGATTTTGTGCTTTCCGTTACTTTTTCGTATGTATAAAGTTGGATTGGTAAAAAGTTTTCGATCGTTTACTTCCCAAGTTCGAAGGGCTTTTTTTTCCCTCTTCTTCTTCGTCCTTCAGATGGATCTGAAGCTCTTTAATGGTATGCGACAAATCAACAACAGTGATTGAGGCTGCAGATTTGTCGATTAGGTCATTCGTAGACTTGCGGACTTGTCAAAGATTGTCCACTTGATAATGCAATTCCTTGATGAATGCATAATCACGTCCCTTTCCTCCTTTCAATTCTTGTCTATATTCTTTGTGAAAGTGATGCGAGTCTTCCAAAAGGTCGCAATAGATCTTATCAGTGCCTTTCGATAGCGATGTCTTAAAATTTTTCTTTCTTTAGGGTTTGAGTTTTTCGGCAGTGACTTTTATCTTTATATATATATATATATATTGAATCGCCATTGATCTGTGTGAACAATCCTCCCCAAATTGACATTTGAATTGGCTCTGTTCATATTATGCAGGTATGATTACTCTGGTTATGGAGCTTCAACTGGTAAGGTAAAATTCACTCTACCAATCTAACTTGTGCTGTTAATTCTTCTCCAGTTTTGCACCTGTCTGTCTTACAATAGCTTGTTCTTTTCGAAACAAGTCATCTAGTAAAATCTGAGTTGTTGCTGATGGTACAGCCGAGTGAATATGATACATATGCCGACATAGAGGCTGTATATGAATGCCTGCAAACTGAGTATGGGATTAGCCAAGAGGATTTGATTTTGTATGGGCAATCAGTCGGGAGCGGCCCAACATTGCATCTTGCAGCTCAGCTGCCGAGGCTGAGAGGGGTAGTGCTACACAGTGCTATCCTATCCGGGCTTCGGGTGCTATGCCATGTCAAATTCAGTTTCTGTTGTGATATTTACAAGGTCAGTGCATAATTGTTTTAGAAAAATGGATATACATTGCTGATTTGTTATGTTTGTTCGATATCCAGGCTGTTGTTTGCCCTTTTGAAGTTAATTTTGATTGGAGATTCGAGTCCTGGTGAATTAGTAGCCTATTTAGCTAATGTTTCTTTAAGATACGGCTAAATATGATCCTAAATAGTTTGTGCTAATGTCTATTAGATTGAGATCTACCTAATTTTAATTAATTGGATTCACGACACACTTCTAGCGCATATGATCTTAAAACTTCTGTGCTGAAGCTTAACGATTCAGAACTCACACTTACTGCACATATTTATTATGGATTGGATTTGCAATAGTTCTACCGGCTGTCAAGTTTGACAAAGTAACATAATCCTTTCGTGCAGAATGTATACAAAATTCGGAAGGTGAAGTGTCCTGCACTCATTATACATGTAAGTGATCCTAAAATCTGTATTCTTTTCCAATTATAGCATTTAGAAATTTTGTGAAGAAAGTGCAATTTTCCTCAGAGTAGTAAAATTTGACAATTTGACAATACTCGTGAAGGCTTTGTGGCATTACATGCTTCTTGGATTCAAAGAATTTCATATATCATGTTTCGGTGGTGCATTTAGTTCTTCCTAAAATTTCGAAACATTAGTGATGTGGTAGATTAGAATTACTTTTAGTATTTATTCAACCATACATGATCTGCTTTATTTGAATCATATACATTGTACATAATGTAGGCAGTTGCCATGTTTGACATAGTCTTTAAAGCCCTTTAAGGTAGACAATAAATATCTACAAACAGAATTACCAAAACAAATTCTAACAGTCTCGCCTTAAAGTTGTAAATAACAAAAGAAAAAAAAAAAAAAGGCTCTGTTTACTTGTATTTTGATATCAGTTCTTTACTATGCAGCCTTATGATTCTTTATAAAAATACACTATGTTCTCTCAAAAATATCACATCCAAACTACTATATAAACCAAAACACAAAACTAAACCCCAAGTAAAGAAATGTAAAAACAACAAATTTGTAGATTTCTAGGTGAGATTTGAAATAAATCTACTCTTACATTATAGATAGAGCTGTTATATGAGTTGAGCAAGCTTGAGGATATGCTGATCAATCTTGACTCAAACATGTTTTGGGCACAGCCTCTTGACTTGACTCATCTATGATCTTGAGCATTCAAAATAAAAAAATTTTGTAACAAAAATATTGAGATTTCACTTGCAAATGCAGATTTTGATGCAAAAAGAAACTAATTTAGACATTTAGTAAGAGAAATACGGAGTAGCATAAATCATCTCAAAAGATTTTAGACTGTCAACATTATATTGATAGGGAGTTGATTCAATCTTTTGATCACGTTCTCATTGATCTCTTGAAAGAACCATTTCTTCCGCAGTCTTTAAATTTCAAGCACAAAAATTTTGTGGATTTCTTTAACATTCTTTACTGTGAAGCAAACAGCGATAAAATGCATCTATCCTTAATGAGAAAAAAATGCAATATCAAAGTAAAATTAAAGTTATGCTGTAGAATATTTAAGAAAATAGAGTGGACATAATAAAAATTATGCAACTGAATCTACTCCTATAGCAACCTTAGCAAATTGTTATTTGCCATGATTACATTGCACTTTCGTTGTTCGATTTTCAAGTATAATCTCTATAATTTTGTCCTAATTTTTTTTTTCCTTTGATTTTTTTCTTAGAAGGCCCCAACTTTGTCATCCATATGTTGGCCTTTTGAATTGTTCTCACCTCTTGGAGTTTTCATCACTCATTTTATCAACTCGTTCTTCATCAAAATTAAATTGTTCCCATCTTGTATCTTATGCTCCTTGTTGGAGTTGATGATGAACTTCAAAACGAATGGAATGAGGACAATCATATTCATAAACTAAATCCGATTCTCATTAATCGTAAAAAGACCACTAGCTATCAAACAAAACACTTTTCAATTTTCAAAAACTTAAAACTTTATGATACTCAAGTTCTTAATAACTGATATGATCTTGTCCTCTGCACTCCTACATTGTAAGTTTCAAATGTAATAGCAGATTATGATGTTAAAGGGGCAGAGAAGAAGCTGCAGCAAACAGAGGGTTATGGGAACCTCTAAAAATAATGAAGAGTGGAGAGCACATGGGAACATGTAGATTATGATATTGGTATGTGATAGGTGGGAAACCCAAAAAGTATGGGAAAGTGGAGAAATGCTGTACCAAATAAATTTCGAGAGATCAAACCATTACTAGTGCTAAGAATTGTAGGATAATTATTTCCTTGGACCATTTAGCTGCCTTCATGAATAAAGAATGGAAATAAATCCTTATCTAACTGAGAATGGCAATCGGTGGCTGTGGGATTGCCAATGGTAGTGTAGGTTAATTGCGCGAGGAAGATGGAAAATGAAGATGGGAGGGGAAAAATCTTGGGTTAGGGAAATGGGCAGAAATTGAGAGGAGCTCTATACATATATATATATATATTAATGTACAAAATGGCAAAACTGCATCACTGATGAGCTAAATCAGGCTGCTTGCGAGCTGAGCTCAAGCTTGACTCTTATGTCTATAAATGTGTCGAGTTGAGCTTGGCTCACAAGCTACCATGTTCACATAACAGCACTAATAACACTTTCACGAAGAAAGTATAATCGAATGACTACCAGATGGTGACTATCAACACAGCCATGAAAAAACTAGAAATTTGCTACAGGAAAAAAACTGATAATCCGTATGTATGTTGGACCATAATCTTGACATCCCTCCCAGTGTTGTGAAAGTTCCATCTCTTTCATTTCCGTATGTTCAACATCCATTCATACTCATCAATTAATACCTAGTTTGGAGTTTCATCAGGTTGCATTTAGTTTCCATCCTCTTCTCAAGATGATCGTAGTTATGCATTTACTTTATGTACTGCAACTTGTATGCTGTCTGCTCAAAGTTATTATAACATGATCAGAAACTTCAGAAGAACTTATGTTTGTCTTAGGCATGTGTGGCCTCATAACTAAAGTTAGAAGTAAACTTGTTTTACAGATTCCCTCATCATGTTTAATTGAGTCTATCCTGTTCTATGTTCTTATATATATAAATAAAAAAGAAAATTCTGGTTCTAAATCTTTGTTCCACACATCAGAGATGCTCCATTATCTACTTGTATGGTGTAATAATGATGCAAATGAGTGGGGTTGACCCGAACCATGTCTGAAAGTTCGACACAATTTATGAAGGGAATCTAAGCGAAAAATGTGTAGTCCGTACTAAATGGTATGTCTTCGATGAAGGAATTGCAAGCCAAAAGCATCTAACCAAAAAATTTATGCGATCACCGTTGATTTGTGTTCTCATTTTCAGCCATCAGTCAATACATGAAGTCGAGAAAACTTTTGATTTACATTGATAGCTTCTATGTTACAATTACTGTTCTTTTTCTCATTCGGCATGTAATAAGAAAACATTTTTGCATTCGACTGGTCTAATTTATCATGAAATGGTGCACTTTTAACGGCTCCCTGCACTGCTATTTCCAGGGCACAGACGATGATGTAGTGAATTGGTTGCACGGCAACGGGCTATGGAAAATGGCAAGAGATCCATACGAGCCCCTGTGGATTAAAGGAGGCGGGCACTGTAACTTGGAGCTCTATCCCGACTACATCCTCCATCTTAGCAAATTTGTCCGAGAAATGGAGAATATGAACACCAAAGCTCGGCTCAGAAAGATCCGTCCAATTCTTCAGCAGAGGTCAAAGCCCGGCTGCTGCACAGGCTCTCTTCACAGATGCTGTAAGATCAACTTTGGAAGAATCAACTGCAAGCGCGCCGACTGTTTGAACCCCAAATCTTTCATAAAATGTTGCTGGCGGCCGAAATGCCACAAGTGGCGGCCGACATGCCCTGCGTGGAAGCCCAAGTGCCAGGCGTGTTTTCAGCCGAGCTGCACCAGCTGCTCGTGCCGCTGCACAATGTGCTCGTGCCTGTGCGCCGCAAAGTGTTCTTGCTGGTGATGATTTTATGCTGCTGTGTTGTCGTCGTCGGAGGTTATACAGAGAGAGAGAGAGGGTGGATTTAGGAGAAGCAAATGGAAATGGAGGATGTACAGAAACAGCTCTTGGCTTGGCTAACATAACAACACCCTTTGCTTCCTCAGTTCTAACGAATTTGTGAGTTGAGTGAGAATCTTCTTCTTCTTCTTGTTCTTTGTTCTAGTAGTTTCTGGAAAGTTTAAACCTTGTACAATGCATTTGTTCCTGGAACTATTTATTAGTGCAACTCTTGTAAAATAATCTCACTTCTCTTTTTACTGCCATAGTCCACTTTCTACTTTTCTTAAACAAATTCTTCCATTGGCTTTTCATGTCATTGAAGAAGAAGAAGGCACCAAGAAAGAGAGGACCTGCCAAAGGTGTGTTTTCTTTTATTTTGTTTCTTTTATAGTTAAGTTTTAGTTTAGACAGTACTTCTCCATAAGATAAAATTATCCACCTGGACACAGGAGAATTAAAAATAAATTTTCATGTCATTTTTTATTTTTATTTTTATAACGTAAGAATTCGTAGCCACATTAAACTTAATACAAAGAAGACTCTGGAAGGTCCGGTACAAATGTTGGCCCAAGTAATTACTTAGGGTGTGTTTGTTTGCGGATTTGGATTTTGAGTTGGGATTTGAATAGTAAAAATTTTGAATTTGAATAGCTGTATGATGTGATATAAATGAGTGTTGATGTGATGTTTTAAATGTAAAATTGATTTTAAATTATAGTATTACTAACCACTACTGGAATATTATTCAATACAACAAATTACAAGCATTTTAGGAATATCAAATACGTCTCACATAATTAAAGATATAAGATCTTACAAGTTATATAATCAATAAATAACTAAAAAATATTTTAGTAAAAGTAATTATAGTACAATGCCGATAATTATATATTAAGATTAAAATCACTAATTAATTTAATTTTAAATTAAAAGAAACTATAAATGAAAATTTTAAAATTTGATTAAAGTTTGTTATTATTTTATTTAAAAAAATAAAACATGACATGTGTAATTCATTAAAACAAAAAGACGAAAAAATAGATAAATTACATCAATATGCTTGATATATTTGCAATTTTCACACAAATCAAGTATATATATTTTACTGAGTTAAACTTTTAATATTTCAAATCAAAATTAATATTATTCACCGTGCATAATTTTCCCGCAACAAGTTGATTCATCTCAGACAAGACTGAATTTTTTTTCATAAAAATACACTGTTTCATTTAAAAAAATATCAAAATAAAATACTATTTAAATAAAAATTCAAATGAGCACTATTCACTGCATAATTTTCAATAAAAATATAATTTTTCTTTTCACATAATATCACATCAAAATATTATTTAAACAGAAATTCAAATCAATATCTAATTTCAAATCGATTTCAAACCACAACCAAATAAACTTGAAAAATAAATAAAAATACTATAAACATAGAGAAAGGAGTAAAGTTTACGGCGTAGCATTATTAGCAATTTAGCATAGGCTGCCTATGGCATTAGGGACAATGATTTAAATCCATTAATTTAAACTTTAAGTTACATCCATCACAATAATTAAAATTTAAATGGTTCCATCATCATTCAATTCATTTATGATATGTTTACACTCATTAATCATGAAATATATTTATATAATATTTTGACTGAAAAATTAATTTTCATTATAAAATTTTGTTACAATTGTTCATAACTCTTGTATAGTTTTAAAATTAGCGTAAATTTTTTATTTACTTAAAAAAGTAATTGTATGACATTCTCTTATATTTTTAAAAACATTATATGAAATTCATAATAAATCTTTATTTTACTTAGAAATTTGTATGACGTCCCCTTATACTTTAAAAAATGTTATGAAACCCCCCTACTATACGAAAAAAAAATATAAATATGAAACCATCTTATCATCACACAAGGAGGTTTTATGGCGATGGGTTTCATGCAACGTTATTGAAAATATAAGGATGTGTCATGCGATTTTTTAAATATAAAGAAATTTTAAACTAAATTTCAAAACCACAGGAAAATTATGAACAATTTTACCTAAGTTTTTTGATATAAAATTGCTCAATTGAATAGTTAGAAGTTAATACTCCATTTGTCATTGAATTGTATATACGGAGGAGATCCGGTGCTGAATGAAAAAATTCAGCATCGGTGTTGAACCTCATTAAAATTAATTTACATGATAATAATAATAATAAAATTTAATTATATAAAATAAAATAATTAAATTTCATGTGCTGAACAATTTGATTCAACATCTGATCCCGTTTCTTGTACATATACTCAAATATTTAGGCACTTAATTTAATGAAAATGACTAATAATTGATTTTTATTTTTTTTAATAATAGAATCTTGATTAGTGTTATTCTAATTCGAATTATTCTTCAATGTAGCATCAACACTTATTTCTATTACATAAATGCTAATTAGTCAAATAGAGTATATTTTTGTTAACCTCTAAAAAATTATAATGAAAAAGTACAAATTTAAACTGTATTTTTGTCAAAACCTCTCTAAAGTAATTTTAACAAAAATGTTACACAACTTTTTCAAAGATTCTTTCATACTATAAATAGGATAAAATTTATTAATTGTTTTTTTTTTCTATTATTTTTTTGGGTAAATTTTCGATCGAATATAATAATCTGCAAACTAATATAGTCAAGATAAATACAAACCATTTATGCCAATAAGATTATTTCTGATTGTGAAGTTTTGTTTTGTGTTATTTTTTTATTTATTTAAATACTAGTTTGATGTAATGCAATTTATTAAAAAAATATAAAAAAATACAAGAGAACAAAACCTTAAATTTACAAATATAAAAATGGGCACAATTATTAGAGATTGCACACGTGCAACCTAAGAATGCAGCATTTAATCATAACTATTAAATAATTGTTGAGAGGAGAAATTGGTTGAGCGATACATCACCAGCTAATAATATAAATGAAATAATTTACAAATTCATTTATGTGAAAGAAAAAATTATTATGTATTTATAAGTTAGTGGAGAAGCAATCATGTTTGTGTTTTAATTTGATCTTACTTTTGTTTTTATAAAATTTATATTAAAATATACTTTATTTTAAAATATTATTTATATATTTAAAATTATTGTATCAAAATAGATAATTTATTTTATATATATATATATTTATGGTTCTATAACCCCTCTAAAAAAATAAAGAACAGCTAAAATTTAAAATGATTCGACAGTTAAACCAAGTCGCATAGAATTTTAAATGTTTGTGTTTAAGACATGCATTTGTTCGTTAAGTATTCAAATTCGTTTGTAGCGTTTAAGTTCGGTTCGTTAATAAATCTTATTGTTTGAACTCATGTTCATGTTCAGTTCGATTAAGTTCGTTTCGAGTTTGTTTATGTTGAGATATTTTAGATATTCAGTTTTAGATTTAGTAGATTTATATTTAGATTTGATCTTATTCAGATTATTTAGATTTGAGTTTATCGAGTCTGTTTTGTATTGCCTATATATAGGTTTCTTATTTTGACGATCAATAAGACAATCTCATTATTTTCCCTCAAAATTTCTAACAGGATATATAATATTTTATTTAATTGTTTATTTTAATTAATAATTTCACATATATATATATATATTTAACGAACAGAGCTTGAGATGGTTCGTTAATAAAATGAGACTATTTATATTATTTAGGTCGGTTCGTTTACATTCATCCACGAGCTTAAACAAAGATGAATAGAGCCAAACCATGCTAAATTCATAAACAATTTGATTTATTTAACAACTCTACATGTTACATGTAAAATGTATTAAATAATAAATTGAACTTACATATGTTTTCAATTATTTTCTATACTATTTATCAATAATATATTTTAAAAGTATCATATTGAATATTAGACTGTCAAATATAATACATATTTGAAAGTTTTAATATTATTTGTCATGTAACTTTTGCAAAAAAATAAAAAAAAAATTGAATTAAATATTTATTTTCTTTGACATAAAATCATATTATTAAAAAAAATAAAATTCAAATCTCTAAATGGAGTTTTTTTTTTTTTTTTTTAAAATCTACAATAATATATCAAATACTCTTCATACAAAATCTTGTATCTAATATCCATAATATGCATCACATACTTATTTTTTTATTCATTTTTTAATAATTCTAAATTGATTAGAACTTAATTATAAAGGGTAAAATTGCATAAACGAATGGATGAAATTTAAATAAAAACTATATAATTGAAGTCCAAAAAAAAAACAACAAAGAAAATTGCATATATATATATATATTTATTTATTTTTTCCTTCTTCATATGCAGCGGGGTGCAGTGGGTTGTACAAAAATTGGGGGTAGGGGCTCCAACCTACTCCCTCCACTCCATTTGAGTGGAGTTTGTGTGGTGTTTGTTATTGTATAATTTTATTTTTTTAAAAGATGATATAATTTTATTTTTTGAAAGTGATATAATTTTATTTAAAAAAATATATAATTTTATTTTTTTAAAAGTGATATATAATTTTACATTTCGAAAAGTGATATATAATTATATAGTTTTTTTTAAAAAATAATGTGTAATTATATATATTTCGGTTATATTGTAAAAATAAATTAAAATTGGGATGTAATTTATAAATATAAAAAGTTATATAAAATACTCATCCGTTATTCAAATCTATGCTCACTTTCCTTTTTGGGTTGTCATTGAAAAATATTCTCGTTTTCTTTTTAAGTAAAAAATTATTATATTTTTGTATTTTTTTTACTATAAAAGAAAAAAATAACAATTATTACTCACTTTTATTAAAACTTGTGCCCGGTCAAATGAACATACATTTGCATGACGAAGTGAGTAATACAAAAGAGGAATATACAGGGGATATAAAGTTTATGATTGAAGTAAAATGTAGCTACTGCAAAAATGAAGGAATAAATTGGAGATGATCTTAAAAGTATTATAGAGTATTAATTTATTACCTATAAGAGTTTTGAGGGCAAACTGCGAAAAGAACCAAAAGTAAAATTTGTTGGCACGGTATTTACATTCTATTTTTTTAACACTAATTTTTAATTATGATTCTAAAAAATAATTATAATAAACATAAAATATTATATATAAAAGTCAAAAAGTAAAAAATTTTCAAATATTAATTATAAAAAATTATTAAAAAAATTAAATATTTAATTTAAAATAATATATTTTTATATTTTTGACACAATTCTCATACTATACAAAAAAATCATTTTATCTTAAATGCTGGATGAACTGAGCCTTAATTTTTTCATTTAATAATAGATAGAGAAAATTGTAAAAAAATATCTCTCATGTATATTCCATTATTATTTTTATCATGTATTTATGTCTCTGACAAAATATATTCTACGTGTTTATAAAAATCGCTATCATTTGGCTGCACATAACGTTCACACCATGCAGTCAAAAGATAGAAACAATGATTTTTGCAAATATGTAAAATATATTTTGGCAGTAAAATAAATATATGACAAAAGTGACAATGGAGTATTCATTAGAGATATTTTTTGCAATTTTTCCTAATAAATATATACTTTAAAATGGTGTATAAATTTCGATGATCTTATTTAAAATATTATTTTTACACTTAATGTTGGCCTAAATTTCGAAAATTTAATTTGTATTCCTAATTTAAATATAATATTTAAATAAAATTATAGTATATTCATTTTTTTAAAAAAAAAATAAATAGAACAAACAAATTATAAAAATATAATATTAGATTCAGACGAAGTTTACCTAATACACACTTTTAGGTAGCGGTTGCGGGTTCACACATTAAAAAAAAAAAAAAAAAGTGCTTTGTTGGTTTGTGGATTTTGAATCCTAATTTTATTATTTATTATTATTATTATTATTTTAAAAAAACATCAAATTAATTCAATTTATATTTTCTATTTTTATATCATATAATATTAAAATTATAATTAATTTTATATTTAAAATATTGTATAAAATAATTATTATGGTTTAAAATTTTATTATACAAAACATTAAATCTAACACCAAAGCACACGAAACAAAAATACATGATCGTATCTTTTAGTTTTTTGAATTATATATAATTTCGATGATTATATATCCAATTTTTATATAAAACAACTACGTCCAAAAGTTACTTTATCTCAAAACAACAAAAATCAAAACTCACAAAATACAAAAATAACAACATCATTTATCTTTACATTGATTTAATTTTTGAATCAAATCATCAACATGCATAAATCAGATAGTACATAATAACACAATATACATCATATATTTTGATAGTATATAATATAATTTTATACAACAAATATATTATTTCATCCGTCCGCCTCTAAGGGTCACATTTACCTTTTTGCGTCATTGTACTTAAAATTAAAAATATATTTGTATTTGTATAATGTCTTTTTATTACTATTATAAAACACTAATAGAAGTATTTGTAATTTTTTTTTAATTTGTACTGCATTTTCATATAATAATTAATATTCAAATATTAACATATAAAAATTAAATGGAACCCTTAGAGCCGGACCGATGTATTAATTTTAGCATAATAATCACATAGTTCCATATGACATATTATTGCACTAGATTATATATTTACATACATTGTTTTTTTATTAATTTGTATTGACGGATCAAATCAGCCCGTCAGTATATATATATATATAGGCAGTAACAAAATTAGCATCTAAATTTCGGGGACAAAATATTATAATTTATTTAATATTTAGCTAATAAATTTAAATAAATAATAATGACACAATTATATATGAATTTAAATAATTTTGGGATATAAAAATTAATATTTTTAAAGTTGGCTTGGGGAGTTGACCCCCAAGCCTTAGTGTAGATCAGTTCCAGTATATAGGTGGACATATGTGTTAAATAGAGAGGTGCTCAGGGTAGGCATTCGGTTGTGTCCACCCAATAATTAAAACAAATTAAGCTGAAGCTGCAGGTGACATTATTGACATATATATATACAATTTTATTTTTTATTTTTAAAAAATGTTAGAATTAATTATTGGATTCTTGTTTGTTTCTATTATATCAATTATATATATATATATACATGTTATGTTTGATGATGGATCAATTGGATATTGTCTTGTCTTTTTGTCTTGTGTTGTGGTGCATCTTCTTCACTTCAAAATCGATCGATCCGTCGAGCAAATACAGCAGGAATTGAAGATAACAATATAATGGCTACTGAGCTGGAATTGGGAAACATCAATAATATTGATGATTCAGTCTTCAAGGTACATTGCAACAAATATACTACAAATTCTCATCATCATCTGATATATCTCCAATTGATTAATCAAAGGATCTTGGGAATCTGAGGGAGCAGCTCTACTCGGCTGCCGACTACTTCGAGTCTGCCTACCAGAAGGAACATCGCAACCACTTGTTTGTACCCCTCTCTCTCTAGATCTCTCTCTCTCTCTCTCTCTCTCTCTCTAGACATATATATATATATATGTATATAAATGGCATGTTGATGTGTGCAGTGTGTTGGATTCTTCGAAAGAGTACGTGGGCAAGGCTGTTGTGAGCACAGTGGATCACTTGGGGTGTGTGGCTGATAAGCTCACCAAATTGTTGGGACACAACCTCCATCAATTCTCTGCAACAAACCTTCGATTTTCCTTCATCCAACAGGTACTTATTTTATTAATTAATCCAAACATCCAAGGATATGATATAATGTTGGTCATCCCTAAAATATAAGCAAAATTCGAATTCTCAAGTTTTAGATTCAATTTTTCATGACATCAGAATTCTTTGAATGCATCAAGAAATGATCTCAAAGTTTAGTTAAATTCATGTTGAATTGGAATAAATATAAATTATAACTTGTAAAAAGTTTAATTTACTACTTTGTCCCATCTAAAAGTACACACAATTTAATAAATACAGCCTATTTTAATCATAATTGGTGATACTTTTTTCTTTTTTTTTTTTTTTTTTTTTTTTTATATGTAAAAATTACTTTACCTTTTAATACTTCAATAAATATATTTGTATTGACATAAAATAAAAATATCACCAATTATGATTAAAATAGGCTGTATTTATTAAATTCAAGAATATTTATATTTCATAGTTGTGTTATATTTATTAAAATTGAAAATAAATATATATTTTTTTAATAAAGTAAAAATTAGTTGCTACATGTGTGCGCTTTGAGTAAATAGTTAATTTTTTATTTTTGAAGAACTAAAAATAGTAATTAAAGGAGCATCAAGTGGATGCAGGAAATATATAAATCTTTTTCATCCCAAAACAATTCATTTTCTTTTTTTTTTTTATTTTATAATTTACGAAAAAAAAAAGAGTAGTCCCTAAGTTTTGTGGACGAATCTTTTACCATTTTTAATTATAAAAAGCAAAAGGTACATGTTAAATTAAAATGGTTCCAAAAATAAATGAATCTATTTTCGATGAGTATTACACTATTGATTATCCATTTTAATTCTCTCGAAATTCCCAACAAAAAATGGCTTGCAACAAAAGGTTTCGTTGCAGAGATTAAACACATTTCAAGAATTTTCCAGCAGGAGAGGTGTCTCTCAGCACTTGTTGATGATCGAACCTTCCGGCGACTCCTTCGGCCGCCACAAGCGCTACTACATTCCCGGTACAAAAATCGACCACTATGTTGTCCAAAAGAGGTATAAATTTAATCTTATATCATGTCCTAAGTTGCTGGTTTTTGTTGCAAGTGCAGAGAGTAATTTGGACTCAAGCACGACAGACATCGCCGCGACTGATGATGTGCAGCCGCCGCAACACGGTGGGATCTGAATGGCTTCAAAAACTCCCTTCATTGTTTTCAGATTCTATGTGTTAGGACATTCCAATGCCTGTCTGAATCATCCATGGTTTTCGCCGTAACTCCATTGGATATTCATTCAGGCGACTAGCTCGGAGTACTACTAAACAAACAAAATTTACACTCGACAAAAATAATTTTCTTTTTGCAGATACACCATTTTCTAAAAATTCAATAGCCGCGAGGACGGCTTCAAGAGAACCATCTACAAATGCTTATAGTTTTTCTTTCACAAAAGTCACGGCCAACAAAAGGCCATCGAAGCACGCTGCCTCACCGCTTCGCTTTCCACTCAAAATGTCCGAATCTTTCATTAAGAGATCGGTTTCTCCGAGCCCCTCAACTAAGAACCAGCTTGTAAGAAATGAAGTACCTACAAGATTAAAGCATGTTATATTTCTACACTAAGAAATATCTTTTGATCTGTGTTCTTTTGGAGTTTGATTTTATTTCTTTTTGGCTGAATGAACAGTGCATATCAGAGCCAAGAAGAGCAATTTCAGCATGTAGAGGGCGTGAAATGGCGAACCGGGAAATAGAGGTGGAATCGCACGCCAAGAGAAGCGCGCATCTATTCAAAGCATTGCTCAACGTTCATCGTTCAAGAAAGGATGCCGTTATCAGTAGACAACATGTGAAATTTCCTCCGAATGTTTTTCGTGCTTAAGATACTTGGAGTAACATGCTTATTCAAATTTTCATTTTATTTCGCCATCCTCGACTCCAAATATGTTCTTGAACACACATATGTTCCTTCGAATTTGCAGCAATGAATTGGATGTTATTTCAATTATATGAATAGCAAGATAAAATGATAACTCGATAGAACTTTAAATCATAATAACGTTTTCCATATACTTTATTTCGATCTTTTCACACCTTAGGTATCACAAAATAAGTACGAAGATAAAAAAAAAAAATTACACTCAATTGTTACATGCATATGAAAATGTATAGAAATAGAGAGAGGGAGACATGGAGATTGTGTAGCTGCTAGTAATTGTAATAAAAAATAGAGATATTAATAATTAATTAATTAATTAATTAATTAATAAAAGGAATCGAAGAAAATAATGTAATGAAAGTGCAAGTAGGCGGTATAGGCAAGTGGCAGAAACATTCAATCTACTGAACGACGCCACATAGTGAATGAGTGTTTGTTTGGGATGTGATTTGAGGTTGAACTGACGCTACGCTACTTTACCCTCCATCAAATCAAAGCAGACGGTGGAACTAAAAATGATGAACTTTTTTTTTTTTTTTTGTATAGAATTAATATTGATAATTTTTTTTAATATGACAAAAAGAAAAAAGGGTTTGATTGGAATTATTAATGATTTTTGTTCGTAGTTTTTTCTTCCTTTTATAAGCCTTAATTGAACTTTAGGTTCAATTTTTTGATTGGACTAGATTTTGAGCTTAATTTCAAACCACAAAACAATGCATCACCAAGTTGGTATGAATTTGATCAAGCTTCAAAGAAAAGAACTCTATATTTTAGTTTTACATTTTTATGATATAGCGTTTGTATAATTTTTAAAATTGAAGTATTAATTAATCTTATAGATCTAATAAAAATATTAGTATTACACATTTAATTTAAAAACTAAAAAAATTTGGTCCAAACACCTCAAATTAAACATTTAAAAATATTTGAAAAAAATAAAATAAGATAAAACCAATTAAAAGACTGTTTGTAATTTTTTTATAATTATATTATATAATTTTAAAATTTTATATATTATATATTAAACAAATTTTGGTCCGCGTCATTTTTTTTTTTTTTTTGTTTTTTTGGCTCTACCACTGAATGAAGTCATGTGAATTTATGATTTTGAATATAAAAGAATTCCACCTTCAGATGTATACTCATAACTGAGTAATTAAAATATGTATCTATCTTAATATGCCATAATCCAAAATTTTTCTTACTGTAGTTAACTTCGTCATAATAGACGAAAGCAATTTAAATTAGATGACTATGAAGCCAAACAACCCAAGACAAAACCTGTTTCATTTGATTTGTCAAATATCATGTACCTGTTATAAGATATACTCCATCCCCGTCCTACATAATTTATCTCTATTTTCTATTTTCATCCGTCCCACGTAACTTGTCCTTTCTATTTTTGGAAATATAATTATGCACTTTAATCGCATTTTAAATTTTAAATTTTATAATTTTCTTAATTTTAATTAAACTATTTACTTATCTTAATCTATAATTATTTTTATTAAATAATAATTATTTTTACTAATATACTTCTTAATTATTTACTAATTATACTTTACCAAAATTCCCGTGTCTACAGTAATACACCCATATTACATGGAACGTAGGGAATATAAAATATAATAATAATAATAATAATAATAATAATAATAATAATACATATTAAATATTAAATATTAAATATATCGTGTATTCTTGTTTTCTTTCCAAATAAAGTACAAATGCCTTGTATATAGGCTAGAAGTTAAATGATTAGTCATCTATTGCCACCTATCATCATAATTAAATGACACATATCATATAAATAATATGAGTCATAATACTCTCCCTTATGTGTCATTTACAATGAATACGTCTCGTTACAATCTTACTAGCAAAAAACTCAATGGGATTTCCTAGTGAAGGAAAAAGAGTACAATATTCATGCATTAACAATACTTTCTATGATGTGGACATTACTTGAAATCTCGCTCCCCTGATGTGGACATCATTTGAAATCTTGCTCCCCTTATGTCGATATCACTTGAAATCTTGCTCCCTTGATGTTGATATCACTTAAAATATCCAATGTTCTTTATCCATATCTTGAACGTTGCAGTTGGTAAAGCCTTGGTCAATAATTCTGCTAAATTATTATTGGATCGAATCTCTAGCACATCTATTTCACCATTTTTTCTGAAGGTCATGAGTAAAGAAAAATTTCGGTGAAATATGTTGCGATAAACAAGTTACATTATCTTCATATAAAATAATATGAGGATTATCATTTTCAAATCTCAAATCACAATTCTTTAAAATGTGGTGAGTCATTAATCTCAACCAAACACATTCTTGACTAGCCTCATGAATTGCTATTATTTCAGCATGATTTGTGGATATTGTGTTAATGCTTGTTTAGTGGATCTTTAGGATACTATTGTACCGCCGCAAGTAAATATATAGCAAGTCTGAGACTTAGCTCTATATGAGTCAAAGAGATACCCAACATCTACATATCCAATCCATTCATGTAGAGAATTCTTTGAATATAATAAACCGAGACCAGTCGTTACTTAGAGATAACGAAATAAATGTTTAATGCATTTCCAATGTCATTGTGTTGGCATTGCACTAAATTTTGCTAATAAATTTACAGCAAATGCTATGTCTAGTCTAATGTTGTTAGCCAAATACATTAGTGCCCCAATAACACTTAAATATGATACTTCAGGACCAAGTTCTACCTCACCCATTTCTTTTGGTCTAAAAGGATCCTTAATGGGATCGAGAGTTTTAACGATAATTAGAGTACTTAATTAATGTATTTTATCCATTTCAAATCTTTTCAATACTTTATGGGCCAAGGAAGAATTTTGTTTTCCCGAAATCCTTAATTTCAAACTCCATTTTCAAATATTCAATAGCTTCTTTGACCTCTTTAGGGGTTTCAATTATATTCAAGCATTCACATAAACAACTAGTATAAAAAAATTTCTCTCATTTTTCTTTATAAAAACACATGAGCAAACAAAATAATTGACATATCCTCTTTCAATAATGATTCACTGAGACGATTATACCACATGGGACCAGATTGCTTGAGCCTATACAAAGACTTCTGTAATTTAGTAGATTAATATTATTTTGGTTTTGATTTGTCTGCTTCAGGCATATTGAATCCTTCGAAGATTCTCATATAGATAGCAGTATCTAATGAGCCATATAAATAGGCAGTTACGACGTCCATCATACGCATATCCAAATTTTTATGTACTTTCAAATTGACAAGATATCAAAATGTTATTCTATCCATTACTGGAGAATATGTTTCATTAAAATCAATTCCAGGTCTTTGTGAAAAAAAATGGGTAACAAACCTTGTTTTATATCTGAAAATTTTATTATTCTCATTTAATTTTCGAATAAATACCCATTTATAGCCAACAGGCTTAACATCTTCAGGTGTTTGTACAATGGGTCCGAAAACTTTCCGTTTTGCCAGTGAATTCAATTCAGACTGGATCACATCTTTCCATTTTGGCCAATCTTTTCTTTTCCGACATTCATTAACTGATCTAGGTTCAGGATCCTCGTCATTTCCATTGAATAAAGTGCTACATTATATGAAAAAACATTATCAATAATTATATCCTTTCGGTTCCAATACTTCCCAGTAGTAACAAAATTAATCGAATTTTCAATAACATCATTCTCTTTAGGAGAAATTATATCTGGTTCAATTTCTTTAGGAAGTTTATTAGGATCAACTTCTTCAATAATTTTATTAGGATCAATTTATTCAGGAATTTGATTCATGTTACTACTTGTTCCTTGAAGATTTTGGTTAACATTTAAATCTTCAATCATTTCATTTGTTCCTATTTCCTTTCAAGGATTTTTATCTTTAGAACTTAAAGATCTACCATGTTTCAGGCGTGCATTTGATTTACTAGCACTTTGTATTTGCCCTTCAGGGACAATGATTTTATCTGGTGCACTATTTGCAGCTATGTACGATCTGATGGCTCTCCTAGTGTCACAAAAAGCATCAGTCAACTGATTTGCTATTCCCTGCAAATGTAAAATTTGTTGTACTTCTAATTCACTTTGGCTATTGCGAGGATCAAAAAAATTGAAAGTTACTTTCCAAGTGATTTCATTTTTGATTGATCAGTTTCTCCCCCTAACGTCAGAAAATGTGACTCGTCAAAATGACAGTTTGCAGATCGAGTTGTAAATAAATCACCAGTTAATGGTTCAAGATATTAAATAATAGATGGTGATTCATACCCGACATATATACCCAATCTCCGTTGGGGGCCCATTTTTGTACGTTAGAGTAGTGCAATTGGCACATAAACAGCTCACCCAAAAGTTTTCAAATGTGAAATATTGGGTTTTTCATTTTACATCAATTGTACTTGGGGAGTAGCTATGATAGCTTGTTGGTCTTATCTTTATGAGTATTGTTGTATGCATAACTGTATATCCCCGAGAAGATACAAGAAGTTTGGATTTCATTAACACAGGTCTTGCAATTAATTGCTGTCTTTTTATAAGTGATCCATCTAGACCATTTTGAGTATGTACATGAGGTACAAGATGTTCAATGTCAATTCCAACAGACATGCAATAATCATCAAACGTCTTAGATGAAAATTCACCAGCATTATCAAAACGAATTTTATTTATTAGATGATCATAAAATTGTGCTCGTAATTTAATTATTTGAGCAAATAACCTCACAAATTCCAAATTGCGGGTAGATAATAAATATACATGCAACCATCAAGTGGATGCATCGATAAGTACCATAAATATCGAAATGGTCCACATGGTGGATCTGTAGGCCCACATATATCACCCTGAATTCGTTCTAAAAGTGTAGGGGATTCAATCCACACTTTTGCTGGTGAAGGTCTAGATATTAACTTCCCTTTTGAGCAAACAACACATTTTAACTCATTTGAATATAATACCATTTGGTTGTTTAAATTATGGTCATGGTTACTTTCAATGATTCGTCTAATCATAGTACTACCGGGATATCCAAACGGGTTAT